GGAGCATGTCTCCTAAAAAGAGATATTTACTCTGCTTCTGCTTTTCGCATTTTTTCAAACATCTTTTGAATCTCATGGTTATTTTCTAAACACTTGGTGGTACTTTCCACAGTCATTTCTGTAATGAGTCTTCCAATGATTTACAGTGGTTTTTTTCCTTAATTTACCCGCTAAATATATTCAGTTAAATCCTGGCAACCTTAAACAATAGTCAGCATTTCTGTTCCAGTGAGCATAATCCTGTTGTGTTTTTGACTGTCTTTTGGCAACATGTCCCTTGGTGAAGTTTTCTGGGACAGCTTCTGTGAGGTTAGTAAGTTTGAAAGGATGGTTAGAAGTGCCCAGAGAAATATGACATTTTTGGGTTCTCCGCTGTAAAACAATATTTGTCAGAGCAAATGTTTCTTACTAACTCAGCCCTAGCAAACAATCTGTACCCCATTCTTACAGAAAATGGGGAAATTAGGCAGCACTGCTTGTTTTTGTCAAAGTTTAATGAGGACATGGTGCTGAGCACTCATTTAAAGAGTGCACAGGAGCATGGCCTGGGCAGCACGAGGGGGTGGTTCCAGCTGCACTGCACCTCTGAGAAAGGCCTGCGTGTGTCACAGCCGGCTGTGCTTCCACAAAGCTCCTGCTCTTGCTCTCCAGGCACCTCGGGGGGAGCAAGGGCTGGAGCAGGGACGGCGTCTCCTGCTTGTGTTCTCTCCAGACCCTCTGTGGGACTCAGGGACTCCCTGCTGAGTGTTCAGGGCCTTTCCTCCTCAGTGGGCACCAGGGGGTGGATGTGTGGTAATCGCCGAAAGCTCAGCTGGAGATGTCTTGCAGTGTACTGGGCATTTAAAAAGTGCTTTGCAGCCCTTGTCAGACACCATGGAATCCTGGAGGCACCTCAGGGAAACTGTGTCCTAAAGTATACCAGTGTCCCTAAATTAAATGGGGCTGGGAGGAACCAGATGTGTTATATATTATATTCCATTCTAGTCTGTACTATCCTATTCTATAATACAATATTATATTATTATATTCTTCTAATAATTCAGCTGAGATTTCTGAGGTACCTATGTACTTCCCCTCAGGAAGGGAAACATTGTCCATTCTGATTTAAGAAGTAGAAAATATGCTTGCTGCATCATAAAAAATAAAACCACAAACAAACAAAACACCAACAAGGCAAAAAAACCCAAACAAATGAAAACACCAACGAAAACACACAAACAAAAAAAACAACTAAACAAAAAAAAGAAACCTCCACTCTGAACCTGACAAGGAAATGAAGGACAATGTGAATTTGTTTTCAAGTCAACTCCATTTCAGTAGGATACAAGAGCAGAGCAGATTGCTACCAAACCACTGAGATTTTCATGTGCGTGGGTTTTATAGGCTTGAGACTTTTGTGAGTCAATCAGTTCAGAATGGGTGTTCTCCTTGGCTGTCAACAGAGGATCCTACCAATCTAAATTATCCTGTGATTATGTGACTATGTTTGACTTTGCTATGGACCCCATTTCACAAACACTCTGTTTCCCTTCTGCTGTGCTTATGAAGATTAGGAAGCCATCACTGTGCAGAATCAGACCTTCCAGTGGAACTTTACTGGGCCATATTTTAATTAACCTGTTTCAATCATCTCAGTGGCCTGACATAAATATACTGTGTTGGAGAACACCTCTGTAAAAATAAATCTGCACTGCCATTTGCATGAGGTCATCCTGTGCTATATTATCTCGTGTCACTCCTAACACAGGTAAGGAATCCCTGAGGGCAGTGGCCATGTCTGTGCACACCTGTGCTTTGCTGTAGAAACATGTTAAATAATAACACCTTTTAGAGGCTTCACTAAATTATGAGCAGTTGGAAGCACTAAGCTCATGTACCTGGGCATGCCACAGTGTCTGTGGGTGGGTGTGCAAATGTCTCTGTATGTTGAAGATGAAATTTCAGCTCTTGCTTTGGGATTCCTGAGGCAATTTAGGTAAATCATGACTATTACCTCAATATATTGGGCAGAGCTTATCAGTGGGCCAGTGCCACTTTTCCAGAATTATTGAATTAGGGGAACACTGAGTGACACCCAGCTGAAACTGGTCTTAGACACAATCTGTTTCTGCAAGAGGTTGTCCTTGCCTTAAGAAGCTGCATCTTTCAGCTTGAGAGGGCAAGAGAAGAGAGATACTACTAGCTCTCTTTAGAGATATTATTACCTCTCTTGCAGAGGGGCATGAGGAGGTTAAGGCATTTATCCATAGGGCAGAAGGACCTGTGAGAGAACAAGCTGCCCTCTTGTTGGATTCTTTCTGGCAGGGGGCTCACAGAGGAATTTGCCTGCAAACTTCTCAACCAAGAACTGAAACACCAGTTGAGATGAAACACCAGTTCAGGATGTCCATGGTGGGACAGGAGTCCTCCCAGGGAGAAACAGCATCTCCTGGGACTGGGAATTCCCTGCTCTGCTCTTCCACACTCTGTTCTAGCACAGTATTGAACTGGAGGCAGGGAGGGCTCAGCATCCCCGTGCCTGCCTGAGAGTTACACAGCTCTTTGAGTGCACTCCTGACATTCACACTGCACCTCCTCACGTGCCACACCTGCCTGGCCTTGGATCCACAGCCTCCCTCTACTTTGCATTTGAGAAAATGACTAACTGAGGGGTCTACCCAGAAGAATTGCTGAGGTTGCATCTGCTTCTGTTTCAGAGAGATGCTCAATGTTTTCAAGCTTATCTTGAAAGCTGGCTGCTTCTGTTTGTCAGCATAGACTTTCTCCTTGGACTCACTTCCTATGTTGGCCAACACAATTATTTTATATATATATATAAATCCAGAAACTCCTCTTGAAAACACATACAAAGCAAGCCTAGCCCAGGACATTGTGCAGGTATGAGATATTGCTTTCAGACTAGATACCATTGTTTACAGGATACAAAATTAATTACATCTATAGGGCCAGAGCTGGTCACTTAGAGCTAAATCTGCAATGGGCTGTTGGCTCTAAAGCCTGTCTTTTAGATGTTCTTCCAGACAGTATTTTCCCTGTGGCCAGCACGGGAATCCAGCCTCCCCAAGCACTGAGTTAGACACCAAAATAGCCAGACTCCCAGAAGGTATCAAGCTGCACGGGGAAGCCCCAAAACTGGGAGTAGAAAATGCAAAGAAAGGGAGAGAGTCTAAACTTATCCCATCAGAGTTAAGCCAGATTTCCCTGCACAGTGAGCCTTTCCAGCTCTGCTGGCAGCAGTCATCTCAGTGTAATTGCTGAGGGTATATGGTGGTTTCAGAAAAGGAGAGCCCACCCTTAAAATGGTCTGACTGGGGAAAAAAGATTTCTTCACATGAAAAGCCAGCAGATGACTTTTTTTGGTTTCACTGATTAGAAAAAAGACATTCTAGTGAACATAGTATAACTTCTTCTAGTGTGTTTTTCTAGGTTTTTTTCATTTAACTTGATTCTATCAAGTACAGAATTAGCATGAGCTTAAAGTAAACTCATAAATAAAGTACTAATTGTACTTAGTCATGACATTTCTGAAATAAGTTTTGTGAAGAGCGGAAGTGTCTTTTATTAAACTGAATCACATACACTAGGCATTTATTTGGTGTAGGCAGGACCTAATAAATAAATACTTATTTAAACTATTTGTCGGATTTCCAATCTAGATGCAGACAAATGTGGCATAATCCTCCAGGGTGTTGTAGCTTCCTCTGCGACAGCAATCCGAGAGGAGCATTATGTCGAGTAACTAAGGACATGCAGGAGTGTAGGACCTTGCTCTGCACAGCCCTTTGTGGTGATAGCAATGAACGTGGAGGATGCACTGCCCCAACTCAGAAATGGTGACAGCCAGTCTGGGGCCTCTTTAAAACTGTTTCAGGCTACTGGTCATGGAGAAACAGCTCCTGTGTGCCCAGGACAGCACTTCCCAGGCACAGAAATTGTTATGCTTTCTTGTCTGGTGACTCTGCTCTTCAAGGTGGCCTTCTTCTAAGAAAGTGTATAGACATAGACAAAACACCATTTCTTCTGTTTGACAAAAAAGAGAAAAAATAATTTGTGTCAAATAGAGTACCAGAACATTGCATTTTTCTATAAAATTCTGCCCAGGAATGTGGCAGAGAGAGGTTCTCGCTGCGTTTGCTGGGAATTGCTGTTGGATTGTCTCCTGGACATTCTGCATTAAGATTGTCCTACAAATCTATGGCTCACGTAAGTTCCTGCCATGCCTTCCCATGCCTGGCAGGCCCAGCACAGTGTGGGGGATCCCCCAGGCCAGTCTGTAGTGAGCCCTGGCACTGGTGGCCCACCCTGCAGGCGTGGGGGCTGTCCCGTGTTCTCTGGTGCATCCCTGGCAAAGCAGCGTTTGGCAGGTGGGTCACAGAGTCCTGTGTGGCTCTTCAGGATGTTCCCGCTCCCTTGGCATCTCCCGTGCCAGCAGAAGGATGCCTCACCAGCCCCAGGGGCTGTGGTGGCTGCAGTAGGGGCTGGGTTGGCAGGTTGTCTGTATGTGCCTTGCTCCGCTCTGCTGATTGTGCTCAGAGATCACATCTCAGCACAGGGCAAACAGCTGGGCAGTGACCCTGTGAGTCACTGCCATCCTCTCAGAGCTCAGGGTTTGTGGAGAGCAAATGAAAAAGTTCTGGTGGAAGGGCTGGGTGGAGAGTTGCTTTTGGATTCTGTTTTCCAAATGCCCTTTTACACTGCTTGTGTGGCTGCCTTCACCTTCCTGAGACATCTGACTTGCCTGACCATCCTTCTGGGAGGAGTCAAGTAATGGTGTCTGAGCTTCTTGGTGTTTAAGGGGTCCTTGCCTGGTAGTCACATTTGTAACCTCAGAGAACAAGACATGGCACAAATCACACATATGAAAGAGATTTAAAAGAGTAAAGAGCTCAGAGGGTTTTGGATAAATACACAAAGTTTGGATTCTGGTCCAAACCTCTCTGGTTTGCAAAATGAGTCTGGAAGCATCACAAGAGCAGAATCTTTTTTTTTTTTTTTTTCAGCCCTGAAGCTTCTGGTCCTGACAGGAGTTGGGAAGTGACAAGATTTACATAAACAAGGAAGAATTATCTGAATCTTCTCAGGACTCGTGACAGGTACCGAATTAATGTTTAGTCTGAGCCTGTCCAGCTAACCCTACTAGGTTATCTTACCCACCAGACTAGTGGTTGTTGTTTATTGTTTGTGTTGCGTTAAGCTCGTGTCTTGCCAAGTACTGAGCAAGCTCACCCTAAAATGCTGACCCACACATGCAAGGGTTTGACAAAGGGCAGGTGCCAGCCCTGAGAGTTATCTGCTGAAAAAACTAAATGTTGTAAGAATGAAAGGATCCAATTTCTAGTCCACAAAGAGCTGTTTTCAAGCCCTAGATATGAAGGATGAGTTTTAAACAAAGATCAGAAGAAAAAAATTATAGGTTTTTAAGGTACTCCAGCTTCAGACCAGGATCCAGGCTTTGTGACCAGGAAAGGAGGAACAAGTCCCTTTCTGCTGTATAAATACATGAGTACTTCAATAGGTGGATTGGCATGAACACCAGACTTTGAGATGCTACCTACATAAAAGTACTTTTAAAAACAACTAGCAAGTGTCTCTACTGCAAGTCCCCCATTAAAGCGAGCTATGGGTCTCATTAAATAATCTCTCCAGCCCCCCACTTTGCAGCAGCCCATTCCCAGATCTGAACTTTGGAGCTGACCCCTGTCTTTGTGATGGGCCAAACCAAAAGCCAGATCTGAACACCACTGAACTCTGGGAAAGTTCAAATCTATCGTTTGTGGTTCAGGTTGAGCTCTAATTAAAACAGACCAGTTAGAAAGGCAAATGTCTTAAAACCAAAACAAAACAAATGTTTCACGTGAAAAGTCTTGGATTAGGCTATATGGGACCAAGTAGTGTTTTTGTCTATCACATGATGTCATGTTGCTCTGGTTAACACAAACTGACAGCATGCACATGCGCCATGGGAGATATTCCATGCAGACACTTTGAATCCAGCTTTGAGCAGAACACAGTATTCATGGAAATACTTCATGCTGTGCAAGAAGCCATCAGCAATGGGTAGCTGCTCTTACTGCCATGCAGCCCTGAAGGTTGTCTGCTGCCTTCCCAACTTTCCCTGCCCATCCCTAGTTGCACAGTAGTCCAGGGTCTCTCAAAAATCAGTGCCTTGCCTTCTCTGAGTGAAGTTTATGCCTCATTATGTCAGCAGTATGTGGAATATTGCCACTAATCCCTGAAAACAAACAAGGGGGTGCTGCAGAACCTTGGGTTGTGTAAGAGGGCAGGGAAATCCCAGCTGACTCTCCTGCTCAGAGCTTCTGTTTATACTGTAGTTAAAACTACAGTGTCTGTAATAAAGCAACATGGTTCATGGATGGGGAAGGGAAAAGCAAACAAAAGGGAAGGGAACTTGGTTTCAGCATTACTGACCTGCTGAAGTGAGAGAAAACGGAGACAGCAAGGAGAAAGGGAAAGAGGGAAAAGGTGTTAATGCCCCATCACTGGTGTCAGGATGTCGCTGTGCACCAGCAGCTGGAAAAAGAGGGTCTCAGACAGGAAGATTTACTGAGAGAATCAAGCACATACAGTAAGTAACCAGCAGTTACTCTCCCAGTAGGCTTTATTCTCTTCCTGATGTTCCATGTATGTACTGAGCATTAGTTGAGTATTTTCTCTTTGTGAAATTTGAGTTCAGGCTCTTTGTGGACAATTAGCTAAGGCTTCCAAACTTTCTTCTTATGCAAACGAAGCTAATAATCCCACCAGGACTCTTGACTGAGGTTTTTCAGTGTGGTCTTTTTTCAGGCCAGGACTCACTTTCTAGAAGACCAAATCCCACCCCCCCAGCATTTCTGTCCTTTGCTTTCTCTTTGGATAGGAAGACTTTACAGCAACCATTTTTGTTTGAGGATATGTCCCAAATGTTTAAGTGGAGGCTAGTCCCCACTAATTAAACCTTGCAATTCCTCACTGAAATTAGTCATCTTTAGTCTCCAGACAGCCAGGTAGGAAGTGACATACCCAAGGTCACAAGAAAAGGCACAGCTGGGAACAGAGTCCATTATCTCCTGTCCATGCTTTGACCATAAAATGATGGTTCTCACACTGAACTAGGAACCACAAGGTATGTGAAAAAGGAAGGGAATGGTAATGAGCTTCTTGGTGTGACACCTTCCTCTCAGCTGGGACAAAGACAATGGAAAACTGTTTTGTCCATTCTTCATTAATACTTCTCAGGTTAAAGAATGTTCAAATCTTTACCCTTTGTGCTCAGAGGAAATTTTCAGTTCAGACCTTTCTTTAGTGGTCAAGTTGTAATTAAAAGAACAATCTTTCTATTTAATAATTCTCTATCAATATCCTAATTCTATTTATGGCATCATTTAAAACACACCAAAACAATAGAAAGCAGTAAAAGACACATCTGTACAAAGGAATGAGAGACTCACAATATTTTCTTCTGCACCAATTTCATAAAGGAGGATTACCAGGAACCTAATTGTTACTTTAGAATTTTCTTTAAAGGAAGAAGTAGAGTTGAATGAGAATAGATAGCTTCTCATGTTCTACACATGATAATGTACTGATGTCCAGCAAATCTAGTTGAAAGAATCACATGGTCTTGTGACATTGTTAGAAGTATGGCAGAAAATATATGGTTATTGACGTGTGCTAATCCTTCTCTGAGTGTGGGGTGTCCCAAGTGCTCAGGAATGAGAAGCAGTCAGAGAGTAAAACCCACTGAACTGCTTAGGAGAGTTCACCACCTTTGCCACGCAGTTAATAAATACCCCATGTGTTCTTGCCTGGGACACTGGCATTGACAGGTTCCCAAACTACTACCTTAGACACTGGGATCATCCTTCCCAAGTGCACAGGCAGCTACCTGCCCCTGGCAGCCAGGACTGCCCCAGGGACTGACCCAGCTGAGCACGAGTGCTCTGTGCTCCCACTCCTGCTCTGGGCTCCTGCTCCTGCCCTTCAGCAGGCCCAGCTTCTGCTGCTCCTGGCCCAGTTCTTTTTCTTCCCTTCTCCCTTTACATGCACTCATAGGTCTGCTATGCTCTTTCCCACTTCCCCACGGCCCTAACCAGGCAGTTGAAAGGCTTCCATCACGAAGATTGGAAACATATTCCATATTAAATGTAACAGGATAGTATGGCCAGCAGGTCCATGTTTCAAACACATTCAATTTCTATCACAGCTGAGAATAAACAGCAGGGGAAGCTACTTGATGGGTTGGTGGAGGCTGTGGCTACCCTTTCTTGTGGAACATGTCTCTGTCACTTGCTAAATAGGTGCACCATCTGGTGGTAATTTTGGACTCCCACTTCTTAAATTTCCAAAGAGCAGTGGTGGAGCTATGCCTGTGGTTGCTGCACTTTTATTTTTTTTGCCAGTATCTGTCTGAAAGTCATCAGCTAAGACAACTTTTGTAGGTGCTACTGGTGAATGAGTACTAAGAATAGGTAGGACTTTAAATTAGGATCAAGTTTCCGTGTCTGCTGTGTGGGGCAAGCAGGTATGACTTTATAAGAGGACCACATGCTCTCCTGAGAAACATACACAGAGAGGTGGAAAAATTTCATAGACAAACAAAAATTAGGTATTAACAAGCTTGATACCTAATTAGGGAGTCTAAGCTCCAGGATAGGCAACAGGGACAATCGTACAGTAAAATTAAGATCCAAATCACCCCCTGGAAGAACTTCTCTCTCTTCTTTGACCATACAAGGAATACAGGCTGACTAGGTTCCTATCTTGGACATCTCGTGCAAATGCCTGCAGTTGTGTGGTATGAAACTGGGCCAAAGGAAAGAAGTGAGGAAGGGGCTCCTCATTTCTCTGCCTTTGTTGTCTGAAGCCCATGAGTTCAGCAGCAGAGAGAAATCACTGCTATCTCTTGTGCCGTTGCCCTCAGAAACTGCAAGGTTGCACTGACCATGTCAGATGGAACTTGGCATGGAGATCTCTTCTGAACAGGATGGGTGGAGGCTGAACCAGGCAGAAAATGAGTTTCCACATTGTCATTAAGAAATGAGTGAACAGGTAAAATTAAATCATGATCCATGAGAAAACTTTCTGCTTTTTGGCAACTTCAAAAGAGCTCTCAAGTCTACAGCAGTGCGTTACACGTCTGCTGAGCTTCTACCTAGAGAGAGCAGTGTTCTCTCCCAGTGCACCAGCGAGGCTTCTGGGGTGAAAGCAAACTATTTAGACTCCTCAGCTATCCAAGCCCATTTAACTGACATTAGTTAAGTCTCATGAATCATCTTTCTCACAGAATCACAGAAATCAGATGTTGAACCTCTGCAGTAGAGAGAGCATTGTGAAGTTGTCTCCTAAAACCACTTCAGGTGGATCTAGGATGGGCAGAAGCACAGATCATCAGCTCAATCTCACATGCTGCCTTTCACTATGACTTCTACATTCTGCAAACCACTTGGTTCTGCATTTAAAGTGAAACACCTTTGAAGTCTCTTTAAGAAGACTTAAAATGGAAGGATTAAAGTTGAGCACATATTGGGCAAACAGAGCAGGGCTGAAGTTGTTGGCCAGTTTGAATCCTGAGTGAACAACTACCTTACAACTACAGTTGTAAGTTCATTTTTCTCTTGCTGACATGCTTTATTTCTTTCATTTCAATTTGTCTCCTCTCTCAGTAACAATAATATTGTACTTCGACGTCAGTGAGAAATAAACTGGAGTCATGCAGAATTTAATCCAGGGCTAAAAAGTCAGGCACGATACGCACGAAGGAAATGTTGTCAATTGGAAAATAAGGTATTTGTCAGATGTAATATTGTGCAATACATCAGCCCCTTCATTAGGAAAAGAAATTGCTCGTGACTGGAGGCACGACAGCAACCGGCATGGATCAGTGATCTAAGCCTGGGTGCTGAACACTTGTTTGCAAAGCAAAATGCAAAGATCAACAAACAGTGTGTTTTTCGTAATGTTTGCTCTTGCCTCGCCGTGCATTTCAAGCTTTTCAATTTAGAAACAGATGGTTTACCAAGCAGAATGTATCCCAAAGAACAGAGGAGGAAAGGGAGGGATGCTGCTACATATGTAACTCTGAAGTCTAATGTTA